TAATTTAGAAAGAGAACCCGACATTACAGCGCTGATTGAAGAGGCTATAAACAGCTAGTGATATTATACAGTATATGAGTGCTGATTCAAAAGAGCGTCGGTAGTGCAACGGTTAGCATACGCTAATGGAAAAAGTGAGATCTGGGTTCGAATCCCGGCTGACGCAAACGTTTTTGCACCGCACTCCACGTATTGGGAATACTATAACATCATACCACTGCAAGTGGCAGTCAAAATAGAAAAATTTAGACTGATTACATGGCTTCAATCTCTATCCATAGCAATGCAGATAACAAAGGTTAAGATGAGACTACTATTTGGATGATCAATAAACGGAGACTAAGTAAAACGCTCTGCACCAGTTGACAATCCGGGAGAATCGGACGTTCAGTATTGGAAAAAATACAAGGAATACCGCTGGTCTTCATGTTCCTCATCGCCCACACTTAACCATCAAAGACGAGGTAGCACAGTGGCTAGTGATGCAAAGGGTTATAAAGCGATCAAAAGAGCAACGCGGATACTTTTCCGTCATCCGTACCCATTTACAACCACTTCGGAAAAACGCGTTTTTCGCTTTCTCTAAAGTTGCAGCTCTCGTTGATAGCACGTGTCGTTGATCTTTATGTTATAGCTGGTTTCTGAAAAGACTTTGAATACGCTGTAGCAGCCAAAAGAAGATTGGGTTTCGCAGTCGGTGAATGGAATTTCGTAACATTGGCACCAAGCCACAGCGCTTTTGCAAAATAGAGAATATTTAGAGCACGAATTGATGATTCTGAAGTTATGTGTGCAGAAACTTTGTTCAATCGCTCTGTAAAATTACGCCCTTCAACTTCTTTTATATTGCCAAATAAACCCACTAATGAGCTTGAGCCTATACATCAAAAGGCATATGAACGTGAAGAGGAAATTTTTTGTAATATCAGAGTTATACGTTCTATCTCGTGTTTTCTCTCGAAGCTGAGAAAAAACCAAAAATCGCTAATAAGAATCGCACGCCACATGTGAGTTGCACGATTTAAAAAAGGCAGATTTATGGTCCACCATATGGGCCCACACACCTGCTGTTTTCTCATTAACGACTGGAATGAACTCTTGTGATGAAACTTGAGAGGTAAACTCACTTTTATTGGCTATTTTCGCGAAAATCCGTGTTTTTCCAGAATCGCTAAGGCCAATTAGTAGGATTATGTCGGCTCTACTTTTCAGTGACCTACAAAAAACAAGCCTCAGCCACTGACTGACGAGATCAACCTCTTCAAAATCAAGTTCGTACCTATACAGTAAGAACACAATTGTATGAGAATATCAAAAGATCGACTGTTTTTGAAACCCCCAAAAACATTCAATATAATTCCAAAAAAGAATGATTTAAGCTCAAAAAAGGGTTGGTAAGCCCAGGTCATACACCGGTGTTTCGGAGGTTCGTCCTCCTCATCAGTGACCCCCGCCCCACATTCAGCCCTGCATTGAAGCAAGGAGGGTGCGTATGTGATGATGGCACAGTGTACTATGACACTGTACCATCACCACCTCTCAGTCGATAGATTTTTGCTGTTAGATCAAAACTATCTCAAAAGATCGTTTAGTTTTGGTTTTGATCTAACAGCAAAAATCTATCGACTGAGAGGTGGTGATGGTACAGTGTCATAGTACACTGTGCCATCACCACATACGCCCCCTCCTTGCTTCAATGCAGGGCTGAATGTGGGGCGGGGGTCACTGATGAGGAGGACGAACCTCCGAAACACCGGTGTATGACCCTGGGCTTACCAACCCCTTTTTTGAGCTTAAATCATTCTTTTTTTGGAATTATATTGAATGTTATGAGAATGGCTAGAACGGCAATCGCTATGGCAATCAGGTTCGATTCCTTCACAGGATCTTCTATATCGACTTTTTCATCTTTCATTAGTTCCTCCACAGATCCTTTCAAGTTCACGTCTTCGTACTCCATGACTGTATGCTCAACAAAGATGTCATTAATGAGTGGGCGAATAATTCTCTTGACTTTCTCGTTTTTTTGATTATTTTTCATGTAATTAGGTGTTTGCTTTTACCATCGATTAGAGCAACCTCCTGTAATTATTTTTAGTTTTTCTGATTGAGAGGAGAACAAATGAAAAACCGATTCCATTCGCTGGAGAAGAACTTTTCATAAGAGTGCTAGTAACCATTCGAAAGCTGAGACTTGATGCTACAGCCCCACGTGCCGGTTTTCGAAAACAGCCCTTTATAACGCTGTAACATCCAGATCAAAAATTATGTTTTACACTCGATTTCGCCTTAATTTTTATCATGCATATAATTCGCTGGAAGCCGAAAAGCACATCAATGTGCAGAGAAAGTTTCGCCGTATCTTATCGAATCGTTTTATCTCGAGTTTCTTGCAAAGCGGAGGAAAAATTCCTCATTGAATAGCAATATAAAGATCGTCCCGCCTCGCCCTACCCATGCCACGCCCTCCGCCACGGCCCTCGTTCCATCGAACAGCCGGTAAACAACGTTGCCACAAATGTAAAACTCGATGTTATTTTCCCTAATAAACCGTTCTTTTAGAAAATAAACACATCACTAGAGTCAGGAAACATTACGGCTATCAGACGATTACTGATCACTCCAAAAAAAGGACTCTGTCCGACGAGGGTTTAAAGCGCAAATCAAGAGACCAGAGGAGACCAAAAGATCAAGGGAGCTTTTTGAAAAGCAAACACATTTTTGAGCCCTTTGAAGCTTATGCTATAGTTTGAGTACTAGCACTCTGAGGAAGGAGTTTTCTCCGGAGAAATTGTGCGAGATAAGAGAAAAAAACACGTGGTTTTATGTAACAATTTTATTTTGAATGCCACAGCGTTATGAAATGTTCCGAAAAGCGGCGATGCTAGGCTGTAGCCTCAAGTTTCAGCTTTCGAATGGATACTAACACTCCTATGAAACTTCCTATCCAGGCGAATTTTCATTTGTTCCCTCCTAATCGAAATGAACCTTATTTTTATACGCAACACTTAAACTCTGGTTTTAAGATGGAACTGTCTCGAGAGCGAAAACGATTGTATTGATCCTAGACGAGTATCGCTGCGTTCGAAAGCATCACTTTGAACCCAAACGATACTCGTATAGCATCAACAATCACGGCAGGAAGCTGCTCTGAACGATACTAAAAGCGAAAACTTAAGTGCTTGAAAAAGATTGACAAAGACGAAAAGGGTCTGGAAAAATCTTTGCCAACCAAATAGAAACCGAAAAATTGCCAGGAAAATCGTAAATGTACTCAGGAAATTTTACTCGAGTGAATAAGGAACACGTCTTTGGAATATATTCATTTACAAGTATATTAAAAGGATAAATCACTGGACAGAACGAATCAATTCGCAACGTTATACATCTGCTTCACCCGCTTGGGGAGCTCGTTCTTCCCTTTGATTCGTCGCGACTCTTCGAATAGACAGCTTCTACCCACTGGAAATTACAACAAATAAACCAAGAGACAGGTAAGAAGGAAAATAAAGTAAAATTTGAGAAAAGGACTCACAAGCCGGATCATGAAATATCCCGGAAAATTTCTCAGCAGCTCTTTCTCGGACCCAAACTCTCGTCGAGCCTGTGATAACACTCGCCAACTGAACAATCACGTACCTGAAAGAACAGTTGTGAAAAAAGCTGAAGGATAAACCTCTAGGTGCTGATCAATCGCTAAGGGATGTGCCATAAATTCGACAACAAAGATCGTTCGAAACGATTTTAATGTCTATCTGGCCTACACATTGACTCGCGGTGGCCTAGAAATGCATAAAAACAGTGCTGCTATCTCTCAAAAAAAAGAACCCAACGCCGATTCTCATCAACACCCTGACTTGCCTCTTCACTCGGTACTTGTCAGAATGCAAGATTTCCAACCAATGGAAAACCAGCAAGACCGTTTTGTTGTTAAAAAAGGGAGACCTTAACGACATAGGCAATTATCGCCCAATCTGATTGCTGTCCGTTGTCTATAAACTCTTTACTCGAGTCATCCTAAACAGGAATAACAAAACACTGGACGAAGGACATCCATGTGAATAAGCAGGGTTTCGAAAAGGATTTAGCACCATAGACCACATCCACACGATTACAAGGCTCACTGAAGTTTCACGAGAGTACAAACAACCACTCTGTCTCACTTTCATCGATCTGAAGAAAGCCCTCGATTCAGTGGAAACAGAAGCGGTTATAGAGGCTCTGGATAACTAGGGCGTCCCTACTCGGTACATAAGGATCCTTCGTGAGCTTTATGAAGATTTCATGACCAAAATATCTCCATTCTACAACAATATCACCATTGACGTAAGAAGAGGGGTTCGACAAGGCGATACAATTTCGCCAAAACTATTCACTGCCACCCTACAAAACGTCATGCGAACATTAAGATGGGACGTTATGTGAATGAAAACCGGCGGTTGACAATCAGCTAAGCAGAACGAACGCTTACCGATTTCGACAACGCCTGTGGAAAGATTGGCCTTCATCTAAATCTAACGAGTGGAATCTTTATGTGGAACGGATGGATTTTGAATGCCCCATTAACGCTCAACGAAAAAACATCTCCGATGCTCCAGTTACGTCTATCTAGGTCGTGAAATCAACATGATGAACGACCTAACTCCAGAGTTGAGCAGGAGGGAGCAGGCGGCTTGGCAACGTTTAAGAGCATCGAGGAAGCAGTGAAGAGAACAAAGAATATCCAATTCCGTGCCCACCTTTTCGACTCGACAATTATCCCTGTCATAACGTATGCAACAAAATCTGGTCGCTACGTGAAAGGATGAAAGATCACTTGGCGTTGTTAAACGCGCATTCGAAAGATCGATGCCAGGAGCATCCCGTATCTCGCAAATGAGAGAAAGGATCCGAAGTTCTGCCCTATGTCAACGACCGAAGATTTAACACACCGTTCTACAAGCCAGAATATCGAAAATAAGATGGGCCGCATACGGGATGCTCTTCAACGATAACCGATGGACGAGAGCCGTTACCGACTGGGTTCCTCGGGATATCAAGCGCTTTACAAGAAAACCACCGACCCGATGGTCCGATTTGTCCATGAAAAGACCAAAAGAAAGATATGACGCTCTACAAATTCCTAGTGCGAGAAAGACCCACATACTCTTGCATGCAATAGGGAAA